AGTGGCTCATGCCTGTAATCCCAGCACTTTGGGAGGCTGAGGCAGGTGGATCACAAGGTCAAGAGATCGAGACCATTCTCGTCAACATGGTGAAACCCCGTCTGTGCTAAAAATACAAGAATTAGCTGGGCATGGTGGTGCACACCTGTAGTCCCAGCTACTCAGGAGGCTGAGGCAGGAGAATCGCTTGAAACTGGGAGGTGGAGGTTGCAGTGAGCTAAGATTGCTGAACCTAGGAGGTGGAGGTTCCAGTGGGCCCAGATTACACCAATGCACTGCAGCCTGGCAACAGAGTGTGACTCCGTCTCAAAAAAAAAAAAAAAAGATCATTTTTTGTATGATCTCATGCTTGTTTGAGTATATCCATATTTAGAATGTAGACTTAGAGATTTCTTCTGCTTTATGGTTGCTGTTTTTATTATTACTTTCAGAGGTAATGATGAGATTTTTTTCACACAATTTGTGTGAATTTTTTTCCTGCTATTATTTTTTGCAATAACTCTCTATGTACTTTCCTTTTGTTTTAATGATATTGAGGTTTGTTATAAGATACTTCAATTTAATCCAATCCAATTAATTTAATTTAATATAATTTAATTTAATGTTATCTTTTTCTGCTAGCTTGTCAGAGTCCAGGCATGTTAGTGGGGTTTTTGTTAGTTTGTTCATTTATTTGTTTTGGTAGTGGGCGAGTGGTTTTGAATCTTCAGATTATCTGCTTTTCTTCTGACTTGCAGAGCCCTCAAATTCTTCTTTGTCTTCTTTTACCCTTTCGCCACTTAGTTGCCGAAGGATACTTCTTCCTTTTTTTAAAGCTTCCTTTTCTTTCCCAAAGCTGCTTTCAGAAAATTGTCCCCTTAGGTAGTTCCTATCTTTCAAATCGTCTCCATTCTTTTTAAAAATTTTAAATTAAAAAAAATTTTTTTGATTGACATATCGTAACTGTATATTTATGAAGTACAATGTTTTGTTTTGATATATGTATACAATATGACATGATTACATGGAGCTAATTAACATATCCATCACCTTGCTTACCTATCATTTTTCATTGTAAGACATTTGAAATTTATGCACTTATTTTGAGATATATGACATTATTATTGGTTGTAGTCATCCTGCTGTATCATAGATCTCAAATCCCATTCCTCTTTTTTGTCTGAAAGTTTGTACCCTTGGATCAGCAAGTCTCCATTTCTCCCCTCACCCCCTGAAGAGAAGAGTTTCTCTTCTCTATCTCTATGAGTTCAACTTTGTTAGATTCTACATGTAAGTGAGATCATTTGGTATTTGGCTCTTTGTCTTGGCTTATTTCACCTAGCATAATTCATGTTGTTTCATTCGTGTTGTTGAAAATGACAGGATTTCTCCCTATTTTAAATGTTCAATAGTATTCCATTGTGTATATATACTTCGTTTTCACTGTCCGTTCATCTGTTGATAAACACTTAGGTTAATCCATGTCTTGATTTTGTGAACAATGTGTCAATGAACGTGGGAGTGCAGATATCCCTTCAACATACTGTTACAAGAAAAACTTCAGCTGAATTAAATTTAAAGGAGTTTAATTGAGCAATGAACGATTCACATATCAGGCAGCCCCCAGAATCACAGCAGATTCAGAGAGATTCCAGGGTGCCTCGTGGTCAGAACAAACTTATAGACAAAAAATATAAAGTGACATACAGGAATTGAAAGTGAGGTACAGAACAGCTGGATTGGTTACAACTCTGTATTTGCCTTATTTGAACACAATTTGAATGCTCAGCACTGTGTAAGTGGTTGAAGTATGGCTGCTTGGATCGGCCAAGACAGTGATCGTTACAGGAACATACTCGTAAACTGGGTTCTCTATCTTGTCTACCTATTAAGTTATGTTGCAATTTATCCACAAGGATTCAAATATGAAGTACGAAGTCCTTCTCAAGCCATATTTAGTTTGCTTTAACCATACTAATTTCAGTTCCTTTGGATACATACCCAGACATGGGATTACTGGGTTGTATGGTAGTTCTAATTTTAGTTTTTTGAGGAAGTTTCATACCGTTTTCCATAATGGCTATCCTGATTTACATTCCTATCAGCAATGTATTAGAGTTCTTTTTTCTCTGCTTCCTCTCTGACACTTGTTATCTCTCATCTTTTTGACTAAAGCCCTTCTGACAGATGTGAGGTGATATCTCATTGTAGTTTTAATTTGCACTTGCCTAATGATTGGAATAATTAGTAGCACTGAGCGTATCTTTCGTGTACCTATTGGCCATTTGGTTTTTTGTTTGTTTGTGTGTTTTTAGTAATGTCTGTCCAGGTCCTTTGTCTATTTTTAAATTGGATCATTTGTTTTCTTACTATTGAGTTTGAGTTGTTTCTATACTTTAGATCTTAACTCCTCATTAAATGTATGGTTTGGCTGGGTGCAGTGGCTCAAACCTGTAATCCCAGCACTTTGGGAGGCCTAGGTGGGTGGATCATTTGAGATGAGGAGTTTGAGATCAGCCGGGCTGACATGGTGAAACCCCATCTATACTGAAAATTCAAACATTAGCTGGGCGGTAGTGGCACGTGCCTGTAATCCTAGCTACTTGGGAGGCTGAGGCAGGAGAATAGCTTGAGCCTGGGAGGCAGAGATTGCAGTGAGCTGAGATCGGGCCACTACACTCCAGTCTAGGTGATAGAGTGAGACCCCGTCTCTAAATATGTAAATAAATAAATAAATAAATGTATGGTTTGCAAAATCTGTGGACTGCCTCTGTTTCATTTGTTGTGCAGAAGATGTTTACTTTGATACTACCCCATTTGGCTATTTTTGCTTTTGTTGCCTGTGCTTTTGTGGCCGGCCATACCCAAAATATCATTGCCCAGGTCAGTGTTGTGGAGCTTTCCTCGTATGTTTTCTTCTAGTAGTTTTACACTTTCAAGTCTTATATTTAAGTCTTTAATCCATTTTGAGATGCTTTTTGTATATGGTATGAGGATCTAATTTCATTGTTTCTCTCGTTATACAGTGAGCTCTTTTATTCTGTGTACACAGGTTTCCTTTCATCTCAGAACAATTTTATCATTTCTTTTTTTTTAACTTTATTTTAAGTTCAGGGGTACCTGTATAGGATTTTTGTGGAGATAAACTTGGGTCATGGGGATTTGCTGTACAGATTATTTTGTCACACATGTGTTAAGCCAAGTAGTACCCACTAGTAAGATCACTTACGAACAAAAATATTTTTCTAAATAGCATAACACGTTACAAGATTTTTTTCTTTGGCAGGCACACGAGACTGTATCTATGCTTACACAAGTCTGGCCAGAAGGATCTGACATTCGGCGTGTCTTTTGTGTTACCTCATGCTCATTATCCTTGAGAATGTACCATCGCTTTTTAGGAAACAGAGAGCCCTCCTCTGGTCAGGAAACTGAGATCCAACAGGTGTGGTTGTTATAACTTTACTGAGAAATACTATTTCTCTCCACTTTTGAAATTTTGTTGATTTGTATCTTTCATTTCCTCTATTTGGTACTTCATGTTTTTCTCTTATTTATATAAACTTCAAAAAATAAAACTGAAACTTGTGTCTATCAGGAAACACTTACTGTGCCATTAAATGATTTCATGTTTTACTATGTGGATGTTTCACTTAGTATATATTTAGTCTAAATCATCCAAAAGAAAACGAAACAAGACAGGGTATTAGCACTTGGCGGAGGCCTAGTATGCTACTGTGTTTTGGGCTTTTTGTATGCATTGTGCCATTAATCCTCACAACAGCGTTGTGAGAAAGACATTAGTACTCCCATTCCACCTACGAGAACACTGAAGTTCAAATAGTCCAGGTAACGTTTTTCAAACCAAAGGTACTAAATAGCAATGTGGATTGAGCTCAGGTCCATCTTGTGCAGGTTCCACAATACCAAACTGCCTTTTTTTTTTTTTTTTTTTTTTTTTTGAGACTGAGTCTCGCTCTGTCGCCCAGGCTGGAGTGCAGTGGCTCGATCTCGGCTCACTGCAAGCTCCGCCTCCTGGGTTCACGCCATTCTCCTGCCTCAGCCTCCCAAGTAGCTGGAACTTACAGGCGCCCACCACCACGCTCGGGTAAATTTTTTGTATTTTTAGTAGAGACGGGGTTTCGCCGTGTTAGCCAGGATGGTCTCGATCTCCTGACCTTGTGATCCACCCGCCTTGACCTCCCAGAGTGCTGGGATTACAGGTGTGAGCCACTGCGCCTGGCCCCAAACTGTCTTTTAAAAGAACATTCCTACTGTAGTGTCTTAACATTCATCCTAGCTGGAGAGATACTAAAGTTTTTAACCTTCTTTATGGTCAATAGGGTGCATTAAGAATCTGTTGGCCAGTCTGGATTCTTTCCCCCAATATACAGTTGTCTCTACGTATATGTTCTTATGGACGTGCATGTTTACACATACACACACACACACACTCAGAGGCATGTGTATACATACTATTCTGTATACAATCTACCTGCTGTGGGATTCTTGGCTAAAGATTTATATTAAAGAGAAATGAAGTTTCTGAACATTTCAGAAATGTTCAGGGCTCATTTTCTTTTACTTAGCATCCTTATAATTGTTTTTCCAATTATCAGACTGAATATAATTTTAGTGAAACATTTTTTCATAACTAGACATAGTATTTTAAATCACTCTCACAAAAATGATACTAAGTCAAGTCTGCCTCTCTGGAATTTCTAATGATTAGACTCTATTTGGCCTTCTGGAGGTGCCCTGATGAAATCTTACACTTGCTTTGTTGACAGCCCTGCAAATGTTTGAAGATAGCTATGACGTTCTTGTCCCATGATGTCAGATGTGTCCACTTCTTTACTTGTGTTCTCGCAGGGCAGATTTTTCAGATATATCACCGTCCTGGTGTCCTCGCCCTGGTCATTTTCAATATTACATTTAAAATATGATGCCTTGGATGGAATAGAGCATTTAATGTGTGACTCCATCAAGGTAGAGGCCTGTGAAAATACAACTTCATTAGTTGCTTGATCAGCTCACGTAGAGTTCGGCTTAACTAAAAATCCTGAAAAATGTTTTATTTTAACTGCTATTCAGCCGGCAGCTTCCCGTTCCACTTACCTCTCATCTGTATAAATGCAGTAGAGTTTATGTTATAAAGAAAAGGAAAGTTAAAAAATGTAGAATGAAAAATGTAATGATTCAGCTGGGCACAGTGGCTCACACCAGTGATCCTAGCACTTTGGGAGGCTGAGGCGGGTGGGTTACCTGAGGTCAGGAGTTCAAGACCAGCCTGGCCATGGTGAAACCCTGCCTCTACTAAAAATACAAAAATTAGCTGGGCATGGTGGCAGGTACCTATAATCCCAGCTACTTGGGAGGCTGAGGCAGGAGAATCACTTGAACCTGCCGTGAGCTGAGATTGTGCCACTTCACTCCAGCCTGGGTGAAAAAGCAAAACTCTGTCTCAAAAAAAAAAAAAAAAAAGGAAGAATTCACGATTCCTACATAGCAAAGGTGGCTGCCAGCCCCTGTGGTCCTACATGCTTATTATCCAGTGTCACATCCTGCTGTTTTCCGGCTTACCTTCCTTATTTTATTCAGGTGAACAGTAACTGCTTAACCCTGCAGGAGATGGAAGATTTGTGTAAACTGCACTGTCTCACTGTGGTTTTTCTACTCCATCTGCCTCTTTCTCAAAGAGCTTGTGCTAGAGTCGTCACTTCCCGTTGGGCTAAGGACATGAAGCCTTTATTACAAATGGTAAATGGATTCTTTATTAGTTTACTATTTTTGTGTTTTGAATGTTTGGTAGATAAAAACTGCAGTAACTTTCAAAATTCCCTTTTTTGGGACTACCATTAGCCCCCTGAGGGCTATGAAAGTTTAATGGGCTACATCAATCACTTTCCAATTTCAGCATCTATGTTTAGGAGAACTAACAAATAGCATAATACAGATCTAACCTAAGGAAAAAGCCTCTCTGTTTTTCCTTCGTTAAATCTCTGCCAAGATCAGATTTTTGTGTTATCAACCATAGTTGATGGTTGGTGATCACGGTGGTTTAAGAGGAACTGAAGAAATCAATGTAGTAGTTTATTACTTTCACCTGTTATAGAGAATATTTAGAGACAATTTGGAGACTTTAGGAAACTAGAAGCAAAAACAGAAGAAAAACTTCCCTGGAGGACTACCACTTTAATCAATGAGGATAACTGTTAACATTTTGGTTTATTCTTTTTATTTTAAATGCATATATTTTTCTGATGTTTTATTGTTTCTTATATTGGAGCTCTCAATATATACCTATATATTTTTTTCCTTCATGTTTTTCTATTTTCTTTCACAATATTAGGATCATTTTTTAATGGCTACTAGTTATCTTTTAGTACCATGGTTTACTTACCCATTTCTCTATTATGGAATATTTAGAAGACTTTGATGGTTATATTATAGATGTTGTTATTCTCTTTGTATATAAGCCTTTTTCTTTAATTTGGGGTTATTGATTTTGGCTTGAGAGCTAGAAATGGGATTAAAGGAACAATTGGCATGAACTTTTTTTAAGGATCATGATACGTATACTGAAAATGTTCAACAAAAGCATTTTATGACCAATTAAGTAGGAAGCCAGTCCACAAACATTTAGTGCATTGTGCTAATTGCTGGAATAGAGTGAGAAAAATAAAAACATATTTACCCTTCCCACTCCAACCCCTTCATACAGCTACATTTTCCAGAGAAGACAGATACTAAATTTTAAAAGTAATTATAAGGACAGAACCGTAGAATGCTTTATAATCTGATAATAACGAGATCCAACGTAGTCTGAAAACAATGGTTCTTCTTAAGAAAGAAAGAGAGGTGGGGCACAGTGGCTCACGCCTGTAATCCCAACACTTTGGGAGGCTGAGGTGGGTGGATCACAAGGTCAGGAGATTGAGACCATCCTGGCTAACATGGTGAAACCCCATCTCTACTAAAAAAATACAAAAAAATTAGACAGGCATGGTGGCGGGCACCTGTAGTCCCAGCTACTTAGGAGACTGAGGCAGGAGAATGGCATGAACCCGGGAGGCAGAGGTTGCAATGATCTGAGATTGCGCCACTGCACTCCAGCCTGGGAGACAGAGTGAGACTCCGTCTCAAAAAAAAAAAGAAAGAAATGAAGGGAAATGAAGTGACCCAAGTCCCAAGTCCTAGAGGAAGAGAAGGAGTTAGCATCATGGAGAGAAGATGAAACTGGATTCTAGGGCACGAAGCAGCATGTGTAATTATCCTGAGGATGGCATAACCGAGGAACTGAGATACATCTATCATAGGGGTAGGAAAAATATGGGAAAGTGATGAAGCTGAAGAGGCAGGTAAGAGATAAGTCACATAGGATTCTGTAGGCCCTGTTAAGAGAATGGAGATGTGACTTGATAGAAGCACAATGAGGATCCACTGGATGGTTTCAAATGGATGAGTGGCACTTGCATTTGCAAAAACTTTCCCTGGCTTGCAATGCAGAGAGTGCATTGGAGAGGCAAAACGGGGGATTTGGGGAAATTAGGTGGCTATTATCTCAGTCATGTAAGTGTAGATGGTGTTAGGGACCAGCGAGAGGTAAGTAGGGATGAATAGCAGTGGGCAATTTTAAAAGTTATTTAAGGTGAAGAATGACAAGTTTAGTGTTTGAGTGTGGGGAATGAGGGAAAGGAAGGAGTCAAATAATTCCTAGACCCCTGGCTTCAGCATTTGTGGGGATGCTGCCATTGTATGAAGGGCATGTTAATGGGAAAGGATCATGAGTTTCTTTTTTGGAAATATCAAGTTTAAAGTGCCAAAGAAATGTCCACATGAAGATATCTAGTAAACAATTTGAAATAATGGTTTGGACTTAGAAGGGTGGAATGGGCTGGAGATAAAGTTTAGGAATCATTACTCTATGGATGTTAATTGAGGCTCTGCTAAGACATGAAATTATTTTGGAAGAGAGATATGGTAAGAGAGCTGAGGACAGAGAGCTCAAATATTCCAGTATTAAACACTTAATTATGGGTTGAGACACTGGCAAAATACACCGAGAAGGAACTACTTAGATAAATGGGAATAAAATCAAGGAGAATGGGTTTTCCTGAAGGTCAAAGGAACTGGGCAGTTCAAAAGGTGGATGTGGTTAATAGTATCAACTGCTATAGAAGACTGTAATAGGTTGAGAACTGAAAATACATTGGTTTTAATGAAACAGAGCTCACTGTTGATCATAATTAAGAGACTAAGGTCTAGGTTATACTTTTAGCTAACAGAAAACATTAGTTTTTAATTAGACATAACAATGATCCTCTTATGTCCTCATTTTGCAAAGGAAAAACTTGGACTCAGCTATGTGGTCCATGAGCACAGCTAATGAATGATCAAGTTGAGATCTGACTTCACTCTGTCTAGCTTCCAAATATTTGCCCTATGAAGTAACAGCTGATCAGCCCATAGTCAGTCATCCTTCCTGCCTTTCCCATACTCCATGCCTGATTTTTGGTAACACTCTGTAGCCTGAAGTGTAATTTCATGTAGCCCTTAATCTTTTCACAATAAAAGAAATTTTTGACATTTTTTGAGGCCTCTTGAGAAAGCAACTAATCTAATCGTGGAAGGGATCATTCCATGAGGTTTACTCTGAATCTTGAAGCATGGAGACCAACCAGGTAGGTGGATGGGAATCTTAAAAGTTTGAAGGATTCAGCATCTTCTAGTTCCCTGAACATTCAAACACATTTTTTTAAAATGCTCTTTTGACCTAAAAGTTAAAACTGAATATATTAAAATCTAAATAAAGAACAGAAGCACATTTCAAAGCAGAAGTATTTCTGTAGCTTTGGGATTCTATCTGTGGGTAACAGTGTGAGAAAAATACTATTTTAAGAGTCAAATGCAGATTTCATTGATTCAGGATAAATAAGTATACAAAATGCATTTTTGGATCAGTTTTTATTTTATTTTATGCTTTAATTCCTTAAGGTGTAAAGCATTCACCATTACCCAGCCTGAATGGGCTTACATTAACAAGAATTGGAATGACCCTGCCCACTGCCTTTCAGTTCAAAAGCATATGAACCCTATAGTTTATTGCTAATATGAATATTGCCAATAATTTAGTTTTCTTTTCAATTTTCAGAAAAAATGGTGTGAATATTTCATCTTAAGAAATATACATACTTTTGAATTTTGGAATCTGAATTTAATTCACCTTTCTGACTTAAGTGATGAGCTTTTGTTGAAGAATATTGCTTTTTACTATGAAAATGAAAATGTAAAAGGTACCATCTCAGTATATTATAATCATTATACTTGCATCCACAGATAAACTTTATAAGGGATTTAAAACTACAAAATAATTTTTCTGTACTTCCAACATATAACATAGCAATTAATTTCATCTTTGTTCACATATGTATGTAATATTTTAGTTGCAGTCAGAGGGAATGCTGTATTTTAAAATATGTTTTTCACTTAATATTACATTGAAAGTATTTCAGGAGAAAATATATGTTTGTGTGTCCAGCATTTTCAGTTAATTTCAAAAGTTGAACTTTTCATTTAAATGCGCGCATAATATTTCTTCATAAAATTTAATTAGTTTAATTATTTCACTACTATTGAGATATTTAGGAAATTTAATTTTTTTCTAAAAGATAAGGCTAATTTGTATGTTTTTATATGTAATTTGTTTTTCTTTCTTTAAAATCTTTTCTTAGGGTAAGGTTTCTGATGTTTCCTAATAGTAAAACCAAACGATACAAAACAAAAACATATTTGGACAGAACTCTGTCTGATTGAACATTATCGAAGCTGTGATGTGGTTCCTTCATATTGTAATCATTGTAATGAATTAACCGCATATAAACTTAACAATCCTTTACCAATTTTCTCATCTCTCAAAAATTAAAGTTTTTATTCTGTTTTGTTGGTTGTAAAGTTATGTGTGGCATAACATTTTTATTACCTTAAAGAGAAGTTAAATGTTCACGATGCATTTTGTGGGATAATATACTTACAAAGTTAATACTTAGTTATTAAAATGAAAAACAAGATAAACTTTACGATCTGTATCTCGTAGTCAACACTAGTGACCATTTTCATTTATGTCCAGTGTGGAAGTCACCAAAACTTTCACTATGTGGAAAGTATTTCAGAATTCCATGAATTTCCTCAAAATGTGACTAATGATTCTTTGTATGGGTGTGGATGGCTTCTACTATTTAGTGTTTTTAATTGTTATGTAGGCCTACATTTGAATTTGGGAGATACCATTATGAAAGATTATGAATATCTCTGGAATACCGTATCAAAGTTGGTCAGAGACTTTGAGGTTGGACAGCCATTTCCTCTGAGAACAACAAAATTTCGTTTTCTTGAAAAGAAACCATCACCAATCAAAGGTAATAAATTTCTCAATTAATCTGAAATGAAAACATTATTCCTCTGAAAATGTTTAGGAAATACCACTAATTCAATGCTGCAAGTATAAATAATTTTCTGGCACTTGAATTTTAATAATAATAAATTACCTTTATTCTTATATCCTTGGAGTGGTATGCTATGACTATAATTATGAAGATTTACATTTTGCTTATAATTAATATTGTTTCAATTAAAAAACACAGCCAAACATATGTGACTTCCATTTCTAGCAATATGGCAGTTATAGCTCAACAGAAAAATCTCTTTGTGTAAAGCACTTGAGATGCTGAATAAGAGACACCAAACATCTTTTTATATCATTATAGCTAAGCTCAAAACATCCTAGGGGTTGAAAAAGTTAGGGAAGGCCACATGGGCTCTCCGCCTCTTTTAGGCAGCAAGTTGCGGGGGCTTAAATAAGAAAGCATCCGAACAAACACAGGCACAGGGAGCACCAGGAGGATCCCAGGCAGAGCAATGGTGGTTTACCTGAAATCATGAACCAGACATTCAATAGAATACAAAGTCATTCATTTGTCTATTATCATCATATACATGATATGTAATACCTATCTATGTATCAGTCTGTCTGTCTGTCTCGTGTGTGTGTGTGTGTGTATAAAATCAAAGAGGACCCAAAAGAATACTGTAATCATATCAAATAATTTCATTACCATCTGTATTTTCCCTACTTCTTTTTTATTTCATCTCATGAAAATCTATATATGTGTGTATATGTGTATGTATATGTACATAGATATATAATCTCTGAGGCTTCCATCGTCAAACTCTTTGTCTTATAATAAGGAATAATAAAAGGAATTCACATTTGAAAATAAAAGACATGGGTATTTTTCTTTATCTTCCTTCCTTCCTCCCTCCCTCCCTCCTTCCCTCCCTGCCTGCTTGCTTGCCTTTCTTTCTCTTGCTTTTCTTTCTTTCTTTCTTTCTCTCTCTCTCTCTCTCTCTCTCTCTCTCTCTTTCTTTCTTTCTTTCTTTCTTTCTTTCTTTCTTTCTTTCTTTCTTTCTTTCTTTCTTTCTTTCTTTC